TAAATAGCGTTTGTATATGAGTAATAATAATGCTCATAAATATTCAATATATGACCCCATTTTCTCCAGTAAAAGAATTGAAAATCAGTTAATGTTGTGATTTCCTGTCTTTTAAGTCACTAAATTTGAAGACAAATACAGAAGATATTAAAAAAGGACGACATAATATAAGTTCCAAATAATTAATTTTTATTCATAGTCAAATAATGATAAAAATCGTTTAAAACAGGGATTAATATGCTAGTCCAGAAGTTAAATCTGCATTACATTTGCATTAATTTATTGAAGGTAATGTTTAGTGTTACGCGATAGCGTAGTTGGTTGAGGGGATATGCTACAAGCCGGAAGGTCGCAGGTTCAAGTCCCGTTGAGGTCATTGGATTCTTTTTCAGTTGACCTAATCCTTCCAGCCGTACTAGGCCCTGGGGTTTACTCAGCCTCTAACAGAAATGAGTATCAGGAATTAATTAAATAGTTTTCCTGGGGAGTAAAGCGCGGCCGGCGCGTAAGGCTGACAACCTTACCGCCATCTTTGAGCCTATTGTCTAGATAGTGTGGGACCCTCAACGTCTCACAACCCTATGGTCCTTCACGCCCTGGTACAGGGATAGCTTTACTTTTTACTTTTTATTGGTTTTATAAACTGTTCTGAGTTCTTCACGAAGGGACCTTTATCGCCAGCCAGAGGGCTTAGGATCGTATGAAGGAATTCTGCTACGGCATAACAGGGAGAGTCAATAAAACTAATTACTGGTCTGAGTGGGATGTGAAGTTTGTGAATCGTGGGAAATCCATAGATGTGAAGCGGTTTAACGCAGCGGGAAAGACAGGCGAAATGACTGCGGCTTATTGAGGTACATAGATAACTATAACGAACAAATACTTTTTTAGGTTTATTATAAACTTTCTTTTCATCGGCCCGGGTTCGATTCCGGGTCTAGTCAGGTGGGATTTGTGGTGGACAAAGTGGCGCTGGGGCAGGTTTTCTCCTAGTACTTCGGTTTTCCCTGCCAATCTTCATTCCACCAATTGCCAATTGCTCCACAATCACCCTCACCTATCATCTGGGACTGGTACAATAGGCCAGAAGTGGCCTCAGTACAAGGGACTTGTATTGTATTGGAGAGGGTGGGTATCCCCATGCACTTAGACCAACTGTTGGTCCATTGTGCGTCCCCCCATGATATTCTACCAGTCTCTATTCCCTACCGGTACTGGTTCGTGCCATCAGTCCCGACTCAGCCAGGGAGTTCGGCCTCTACTGGCTCAGCGGTATCTCGATGCTTCCCCCATCTACCAGAGGCGTTAGAGACTACTGTTGGGCGGGAAATGTCCTGAATTTGGCTCAGTGGTCCCCTTGGGACATGAGGTTCTTGTATACAATGGACTTAGTCCCACCCCGCTAGCAATAAAAGAAAAATAGATTGGAAATTGTGGATTCAGAGTACTGATTGCATGAAGCTCCCTCTTTACAAAACAAGGAGGACCTTTCTTCAGAACATCCTAAATGTTTAAGGTAATGCATCTGTGAAATTTGGGGAAAAGTTGTGAAAAATCACAAATTTTGATTTTTGTGTAATAAAATAATTAATATATTGCTAATTAGTATAATGAAAGTTAACCATCTTAGAGGGCACACAATTTCACCTTTCTTTTCACTTTTACACTACATGTTTCGGCACTAATGTGCCATATTTAGGTGTGTCTCTATCCACGTCGAACTACTGCACTGTAAGACGGTTAGCAAAAATACACATCATGGACATGAATCAGTGCAACAGGACGCTAAAATATCCATCCATCCATCAGTAATCTGTCAGACGACAGGTCCACAGTCTCTTCCAAAACAGTTCCTCCACTTAATGCGATCCTCTGTTTTTGGAAAGAGACTATCCAGGAAAAGTGATAATGTGGTAGTTTTTCCATTTGCTTTCCACATCGCAGTACAGCAGCCGTTCAAACCACTCTGGTCACGCCTGTTGCTATACGAACTTGAACCATCTCGAGCATCATTTGCTCTGTGCTTCAAGTCGCTGCTGATGATAAGGTGGAGACACCAACGAGGGGGGCTAAAATATAACATTAACAAAATGAAAGTTAGTTTGGCCTCGCGCCGTTTAAATGGACCCGAATTGGCCATTTGGATGTCCCTGCGCACGTATTTCAGCGGCCACGTCAATTTGAATTTGCGACTTCTTTGTACGATAGGGAACTTTAGTGCTGTGGCTGACCTGTAAATGTTTATAGGGAAACATTTGAGTATCAATTGCGCATTTATGTCGCCATTTTCCCTGTTTTATTCTTTAGTTGCGAAGAAACGTGGTTTTGTTTTTATGGATAAGCGTGTTGTCGAGGCAATTCTTTCTTATGCCAAATAGAATGGTCTTATTGTTGCGATATTTGATTGAAATTATACAAGCATACATTTCCTTATAGTGCAACATTTGACTTTTGTTCACATTAAGAAATTATCTTCTCCCTTCATTGCATCATTCTGGTCCATTCACTGGCTTATGAAAATTTATTTTTGTTGTGTTTCTTTCATATTTGTATCTTAAAATTACATGTCTTTAAGAAAATGATAAGGGAATAATATACAGTGAAACGGTTAATGAGTTTATAGATGCCAAAATGTTGTGTTTCACCTCCTGCTTGAATCAGTTTGCTGGTACTCTATTGACGTGTGGTGATTTATACCTTTTAAACCACAAAACAGCAATTTCAACCTCAAGAGGACTAGGCTCAATTACGAGTGGCCTAGTTGTGTGTATTTACATCTGCCTAACATCACTAACCCTGTGCATATTCTGTAGCTGAGAAAAGTAGTTCTTACTACTTACTTACTCATGGAGCTGAGCCCTTCTGTAGGAGCCACCAATTCTGCAGCTACTCAAGAATTTCCCAGCATATTATGGAACCCGAAGGTTCAGTACCGTGTTCACAAGAGCCCTCCACTGGTCCCTATCCTGAGCCAGATCAATCCAATCCATACCATCCTATCTCTCTAAGATCCATTTTAATATTGTCCACCCACATACGCCTTGGTCTTCCCTGTGGTCTCTTTCCTTCTGGCTTTCCCACCAATATCCTATACACATTCATTGTCGCCCCCATTCGTGCTACATGCTCTGCCCACCTCATCCTCCTTGACTTGATAATTCTAATTATACTTGGAGAGGAGTACAAGTTATGAAGCTCATTGTGCAGTGCAGTAAAATAGTTCTTCCACCTGTTCAAAATATTGTGGGAATCTACAAGCAAAACACTATTCTCATCCTCTGTGTAAGTCACTAATATTCTTGTTCTTACTGTGTGTTACACGGTAATTAATTTTGTCTTTGATATTCTACCTTTCTGATCCTGAAATATCTGCTAGCTTCACATCATACGTTCTTCAGATTATTCCCACTTTTTGGCTTGGATCCTGTAACCACTGCAATTTGGCTCGTTTATTTTTATCTAATAATTTTGAACATCCTCTGTCAAGCAATGATATATGCTACATTAATTTTAATGTCCTAGATCCCCTTTGGTATAAATTTTTATATTATCTCTAATAGTTCCCTAAGCTCTATTAATACCCATATCATCATCATCTAAGTTTTCCAAACGTAGTGAACCTGTTTGAAATTTTGACCTAACACTGATCTTAACTTTCTGCTGCATTTGGTTTCTTGAGAGTGAATCTCTCCATATCAAATTTCTGCATTGCTGACTTACTTAATGCCAGGCTCCCCCTAATTATACACCTGATAAATTGTGGTACAAAATATATACCGTTTGTGTTAGTGTTAGTTGTTGAAAGTTTTGTGATTAATAATCTCAGCTATTGAAAGATAATGACAAAAATGAAACGACTGAGGAAAGTTGGTGTAATAAGTCTATTGCATTCAGTTATCAAGAGACAGTGGAAGATTATCTCCATCTTTGCTAATTAAATACTTCTACACGTTGTCTCCCAGAAGATGGTAAGTTTGACATTACAGATACATTCCCTTGAGTGAGATATAGCATATTCATCAATAGCAGGAATATTAAAATAAACATAAATGTTTTCTGTAATACTCCTTTCAGTTTTAGTGTGGTTGAAATTATTCATTACTTGAGTTGTATAAGAGAATATAAGTTCAATCATGTTGATGAAGGATATAAAATAAAACTGTGATATAGGGGAAACAGAGGTATCATTCTTAATAGTAAAACTGTTATTTCACATGCATAAGAAGGTTCTTTCTTGCTGGTCAAAATTATGATGATTTATATTGTTCTTAATATTTAATCAGGTGCACTGGTTATTCATGTCTTTTTCATACAAAACAAATTAAAATTAAAACTTTAAAAATAGTAGTTCCGAGTGGTGAATATGAGTGGTCAATAATATATTCACCAGTCCACACTTCATATACCAGTATAGTCACCCATAAATCATGACAATAATTTCCTGCCCTGCTGAATAAACTTCATAAGTATGGCCACTGAACAAATAATGTCTTGATTTTTTTTCTCACAAACACATTCAAATTTTCAAAACAATTGGCAATTTTAATGTTATCAGTTGCTTGCAAGGGAATAGTGTGAACTGTAACTGTGCTACAGGGCTCCTCACAATTGGCTAGATGCCGTTTCAATGTATGCGATGTACATATGTTTTGTAAGTTTTGAAGTTTTCTAGGCGATGATTATGAAGAAAGTTGTCTTCTGGGTTTAGGCGCCGTGTATTCTTCGTTTTGGCTGACGTTCCTCCAAAACGTCGGCCAAAATGAAGAATACACGGCGCCTAAACCCAGAAGACGACTTTCTACATATGTTTTGTTTCCTGAACTTCATGGTATGTACCAGAGATTTTGGAAATATTGTAAGGTACTGAAAATCGCATACTGGAGTTGTGGTCATCTGCGATATGACACCATGTAGCTCGATAGATAAGTACCAGTGTCTTAGAGTAACCTGTTGCCTGCAGCTTTCACATAAAATATGGAAGCAGTATTCTTTTCTTACAGTGGGCAGAAGCTAGCAGAACTATATGAAGAACTGAGGACAACAGACACAGCCCAGCATCTGGTGGCACATTTTGAGGAAGCTCTTGGCAGTATGTTACAAGAAGTTAAGAAATTATATGACGACAACAAGAAGATGGAAGAAATGTTTGTACGGTATGGGTCTTTTTAAAAAAAGTTGAAGTAAATACTCTTCACCTGACATACTCATAGTTGCTTTCCCTGTCAGTACCATAGCTGAAACTAATACTGAATATTTGTTTTCAACGATTCAGAAGTTACTTATAAAATGAAGCAAAATTAAACTGGGAATGATGATACTATACAATTTAATTCAATTTTTTGTAAGTTTTGAGGTTTTCACGGCGATGACAATGAAGAAAGTTGTCTTCTGGGTTTAGGCACCGTGTATTCTTCGTTTTGGCCGACGTTTCGGAGGAACGTAGCGCCTCCATCTTCAGAGCAGTTGAATAGCTGCGGAGAGCAGTAGCTGTGGTGATAGGATGTGGAAAGTGCTGCTTATATACGAAGTAGGCAGGGGGGGTGG